GGGGGGGGGTGGGGGTGTGTGTGCGCGCGCAGTGAGGAGGGGGGAATGAAAACAAATAGCTAAGCACTGGCTTTGACCCCATTTGCGAGGAGATTTGTGTACTCAACACGCTTATATTTGTGTCTGAGCGCTCCATTCAAACGGGGTCCCAGACCCAATTTCTTTCTCCCCCCTTCTCACCCTAATGGCGTGCCAATGCCAGGTCATGAAGGGGGAGTTGAATGGGAGAGAGAAGTCAACCAGGGGTCATGGATATATAGATGGCAAACCTCATTGCCTCCCTGAGCGCCCGTTAGCAATATGAGGCTACGGCCATTAGGTGGGATGGGCTCGATGCTGAGCCTTTGTGTGTGTATATCCATGTGGGTATATTATTGTGTGTGTGCACGTGTGTGTGTATGTTCGTCCCGTCATAATAGGCAAGAGAAATCTCCCTGCCCTGCGGTTGCCCTCTCCTCAACAGCTGGAGCGGGGTGAACCAGAGTTCTCGATGTCGACGAGTGGTGTCACGGCGAGGACGTGTGAAAAAAGCGGCGCGTGAAAACATACACACTCTCAGTCTCCTTTTCTGCTGGTACACAGTGTTGCAGTGTTTCCCACAGAATTTGATTCATGTTCATGGCTGCTGTAGACAACGATATTGTTGCTCTGTGTTGCGTTGTTAATGAGTGAAACACACCGGAGTTGAGGATCCGTGGGGTTTATTCTCCCAAAAATATCATTTACAATTTACAATTCAGGCATTTCGCAGAGGCCTTATTCCAAATCGACTTACAATAACCAATTACAGGGACATTCTCCCTGGAGTAACCGAGGGCTAAGTGCCTTGCTCAAGGGCACACTACTAGTGGTGTTCCAGGCAGGATTTGAACTCGCAACCTTCCGATCATCAGCCCACCTCACTATGCATTAGACTACACCATTTCTTTTTTTTATAATAATAATTTTTTTTTTTTTATGAGATCCATTTGTGGCGGACGATATTTAATTGTTGCGGCAATTTTGGAATCTTTGGCCCCGTTAACAAAAATGTGCCACGTCTTGACTTTAGTTAGGCTTACATTTGACATTAATATCAAACAAACATAGCATGTAAAGACAACACGCAATATGTACGTAGGTTCATAAGCAACTTATTCATTAGAGCTGCAACATTTAAGCAATTTGTTGTAAACTATTGAATTGAGAGCCAACTATTTTGAGTAATTCTGTAAAGAATATGGTGTCTTGACTCTTATATGACAGTTTATTCTGTTGGCTAAAATTTCACATTGTAAGGTAAACAAACATGCAGGTGAACACAACGGGCATTACCAAGGTCAGCTAAAATGGTCGAGTTCATATCCATATATCGTCCACAAGTCAATACCATTATTACCACGAGAGGCCAAAGAGCTGCAACATTAGGCAACGCTTATTATGATCCATATGGATATGTAATTTATTCCACTGTTCCAGTATTGGATCAACCCCTTCTTGTGTCTCTAACATCACACACACTACCTCTGCTTGTGTTTGTCTCAAGGTGAAGACATCATGTAGTGTCACTCGGAGGACCGTGAATACAAAATGCCCTCGGACATCGATTATATGCCTCAGGGGCAAACTGCTTTTCCTCGTCTGTTCCTCGTCTGTTCACTCCTTCCCATCCCCCTGTTTGCTGCTACATCTTGTCATGTAGTCACAGGAGAGGATTTCTTATGTTGGATGGATGGAAACATTGTCAGGGTCAGCACCACCACACCACAGGAATGCTGGGA